CTACTTGTGCTACTGTGCAGGTTAAAGGAAGTCATTGTTGTAGAACAATTAGTTCAGGGCCTGTGCGGGATAAGTATGTTTCTGGTTTACTTCCAGAAACGTGGGAATGGGGCTCCTCCTCTGCTCTTCCACTACTATGAAAATTGGTATATTTGCGCCTGCAAGGATTCATCACTGTGCGTGGGAAATACAGAGAGAGGGTCAGGTCCTGATTGAAAAGAAGGCGAACTTCTGTCTACACGGACCCATCCCTAGCAATCAAGCAAACCTGCAATCCCATGGCCATGAGGATTGGAAAGCATCCCGGAGGCCTTCCAGTCCAAATTCATCATAGATGGGGAAACTGAGGCCAGAGAGGGGTGCTGGCCTTGCACAAACTGATTGGCCGCAAAACCAGGGCTGGAAGCCAAGCCTCTTGGCCGACGGGGCCTCAGATGTGGCACCTCTTTCTCGAAGTCTGGTCCTTTGCAATGCTTTAACAGTCACACTTTAAAAATGAGGGCCGGTTGCAAAGTGAGAGCAGAAAGACTTTCTAATTTACTTAGCGAAGAGGAGGAAAATGATGGGCTTGATAATTGCTGGAGTCGCACTTCTAACTCTATTTACAGGGCGGAGGATTGATTGCAGGGGCTGAGAGTGTCGGCTCGCTCGGCAGGCTTCCGTGCTGATGCAATTAAGCCTTGCTCCTTCCAGCTCTGCCTAGGACCTGGGACAAGCCCCATGAGACCCAGGTGTGAGCTGGAAGCCCAGGCTGGACCTACTCCAGCCTGGAGTCCTGAAGAAGTCCATGGGCGTAGGCAAGAACTTGGAGCCCGTGGTCCAAGTAAGGCCAGCGGGGACCATTGGGTCATGCTTTCTGGTACCTAGGCTGCTGGCCAGACTCCTGCAGTCCCCTCACACGGTATTAGAACCCCCATGTCACTATCTGCCTAAAGTTGGGTGGCCCCCGAGACCCCCAGAGCTGGCTGTGCTCACTCCTTACCACCCAGACTGGCCCCCTGGATGGCAATCGCTATCTTGATTGTGTCTGGGTTTGCTCTGCGCTTTGCACTTTGGTGATGTGGGCTGTGAACCTCTCCACGGAAAACCCCAGCACTACCCTGGAGCCGGGCCTCTTTTCCCAGCCCTGTCCACCCTAGCCAAGCATGGCTCAGCCCCTCTGGTTTCATTGCTTATGAGAGCAAAAAATTGGAAACCAAACCAGTTGTCCCCAAATAAGGGGATGGTTATGGAAATGCAGAAATGTTGACCACTATGAAAGACTGTGCGGCCATGACAATTCTTTCTACAGAGTCTCTGCTTAGCATGGTGTCAGGGCTGAACTGAGCACCTCTCACGGCGTCCAAGGTGTTTAGAACCCCCAAGCGCTTATGGTCGTTTGTATGATTGTTACCAACGCTTTGTGCAGTTTGGGGGGAGGTCGCATTACATAGGGCTTGGTGATTCCGTGGACAGTCCCTCAATATACTCCCCGTTATGGGGGGGTCTCACTCTCGCCTCTTCCCACGTGGCACCCAGACCACTGTCTTCACTCTCTTCCCCTCTAGATGTCCTCAGGGAACCTCAAAATCCCTTCCCTTCCGTCATGAAGAGCAATCCGGTTCTTTCCCAGCTCCTCCCCTCGCCCGCCAGTTCATCCTGGGACTCCCCTGACTAGAGCCATGCAAGTAACCAGACCCGTTCCTTTTTGTAAGGCAGCTGAGCCCTGGTTTTTGCCACTGGATCGTGTCCTTGAGCTTCCCTACCTCCACCACAAATGGCTTCCCAGATCTTAACTGAACCAGAATCCCCTGGAAGGCCCCACCCTAGCACTTCTGATTCAGCAAGGCGGGGGTGGGACCTGACAATGCGCATCTCTGACAAGGTCCCAGGTGATTTGTGGATGATGCTGATGCCAACAGTCTGGGAGCACGCTCAGAACCGCTAGCTTGGGCCATTTCAGAATTTCCTCTGAACACATGAAAGACCCTTCCTGAGAGGAATTTTGGTGAAAAGTGTTTTCAGCATCTTTTTTTTTTTTCTTTTTTAAGATTTTATTTATTTGACAGAGAGAGACACAGCGAGAGAGGGAACACAAGCAGGGGGAGTGGGAGAGGGAGAAGCAGGCTTCCCGCCGAGCAGGGAGCCCGATGCGGGGCTCGATCCCAGGACCCTGGGATCGTGACCTGAGCCGAAGGCAGACGCTTAACGACTGAGCCACCCAGGCGCCCCTAAAGATTTTATTTTATTTTATTTGTACGAGAGAGAGAGAGCACGCACAAGCAGGGGGAGCGGCAGGCAGAGGAGAAGCAGGCTTCCCGCCGAGCAGGGAGCCCGATGCGGGGCTCGATCCCAGGACCCTGGGATCACGACCTGAGCCGAAGGCAGACGCTTAACGACTGAGCCACCCAGGCGCCCTGTTTTCAGCATCTTGTCACACATTATTCTATCGTTGTTGGAGGTAGAAAAAGTTACATAAAAATGTTTATGCCCGGGGCATCGGCTTCCCAGGTTCTCCAGAGAAGCAGAGAAGGGGATCCTAGACCACCCATCAGCTGGGTTTGCTGAACTGAAGATGGGCGCCTGTGGCTTGCGCAGATGATTTCCAGCAACTAACCAGGGCAGCTCCCACGGTTTCAGGCCAGAGGAGGTGCCAGCACTGGGAGCTGCATTGGGGGCAGGGCTGAGCCAACAGGGGCTGGAGTGCAGGGCCCCAGAAGCCAGATCAAGGATCATCAACACACTGGCAACTGTAATCAGATACCACTGTGCCAAGGGCATGTCAGAGATGGCCAAGGGCACGGCCGACCTAGCTGTCCCTGCCCCAGGGCCCTCGCTCTCTGTCGGGGGTGGGGGAGGCCAAGCCAACATGTGCAAATATGAAGACCTCAGACTAATGATGGTCATTGGTGGGAAAGCCACAGTGGTGGAGAAGCTTCAGGGGACCTGGTTCTAGTCCCAGCCCTGACATTCCCTGATGAGGCTTTGATCTTGAGCGCGTCCAGGCACCTTCCTGAGTCCTGTGGTGTCTCATTGGAAAAACAAGGGGCCGGCACCCGAACATGTCGTCTGCTCCATAAAACTCCATGGCCAAATGGGTCTTTAGGGCCTGGCATGCCAGTTCTCCATTAGGCTTGTGTTCTTTTTTGGGGTGGGGACAGAAGGCCAGCTCGGACGTTGTGAGGACTTGGGCCAGTCAGGACGCATTGTGTTTTGCAGCCTCCTTGGGTTGTGAGAGGTGGTCAGACTGTGAGAGACCCAATGCCCTGTCTTGGCCCCAAGTGGAAGCAGGATGTTGGGGAGCACAGGTGTGGAGATAGTTGGCATACTTGACTTCCAGATGTCGAGGGTGCCCTGTACAGCTGGACCTCATTTGGCCCCAGCAGCTGTATAGGAGATCTGAAGGCACAGGGAGAAAAAGCATCAATCAACAGCTCTGGCTCGCGCTCTCTGGACTTGGCCCTGACTGCTTAAAATGGGTGTGGATTGTGAAGAGAAGGGGGAGGGGATGGAGGACAAGATAGGAGCCTGTGTGCAGGAGCAGGGCTCCTGGGGTCAGCCTTGGGACTTGGCCTTGCCCGCTGAGGTACTGGAGGGGTTGGGGGTCATTCATGTAGTTTCCCCACGTTCTATAGTCAGATTGGTCCCAGGACTTCCATTGTCTCACCTGCCAATGGGAACTCCTGGCGGCCGCACCAGCCTCAGGCAGGGCCCCTTCCCAGGCCAGAGAGGGCCACCCCTATGACTTTGGGGCAGCCCCAGACTCGGGGTTTTTCCCCTTTCTCCCTTGCTCTGTCTCTCCTTCTGGAGCCTTGGGATTCTCCTGGCCCCAGCTAGCTGAGCGCTTCACACCCCATTGAAAAGTCACTGCAATAATTACCAGATCATTAACAGGGGATTTTGAAAAGGCACTTCAAAGCATCTCTCCCAGAATTGCTAAGACAGGTGTAAAAGTCTATCTGGGCAGAGAGCAGCCAGTTTAAAAGGATGTTGGGGACCGAAGGGTAGGTGTTAATTAAACTGGGCTGAGCGGCAAGGAGAGGGTAACCTTCCCATCTGAGCACCGTAAAAACCAGGTGGTGGTGAGGGGGCCTCAAAGGTTTGGACAAAACCCAAAACGTCCAGACTTCGTTGCTCCTCTTGTACTTTATTAAAGAATTTGACCAAGGGGCGCCTGGGTGGCTCAGATGGTTAAGCGTCTGCCTTTGGCTCAGGTCATGATCCCAGGGTCCTGGGATCGAGTCCTGCATCGGGCTCCTGGCTCAGCGGGGAGCCTGCTTCTCCCTCTCCCTCTGCCTCTCTCCCTGCTCATGCTCTCTCTCTCTGTGTATCTCTGTGTCTCAAATGAATAAATAAAATCTTAAAAAAAAAAAAAAAAAGAATTTGACCAAAATCCGAGCTTTTCTTTAGAATGCGTGCTACCTGTGTTGGGAAGGTTCATATATCATAAACAAAAATAAACCTTCCTGCGCCGCAGGCTTCATGATTAATTTTACTAATTAAGGTTAATGAACATCAAATGCCTAAGTGGCTGGGGGTAGGGTGCGGAGATCCGCCCTCCTTGTGTGAAAAGCCCTACGGGAAGGAAGAGAACAAATAAATGGTTAGGAATACCCACCTAAGCTACTCTACCGAAAGCTTAACCCCGCTCTTGCATCATGACAAACCCGAAGATGGTTTGGGTGGGTATACGGCCCTTCCCCACCTGGGAACCTTGTTTTCAGAGATCCTTGCCCCCCTTACAACTGATCTCTGGTCAGCAGTACGCTCAAGTGCAGAGCTTAATGGTCTAAGTCAGGGAGTTTCATTTCCGGCTGCCTACCGGAATCCGATGGTGACAAGATGTCAGACTCACCCAAGGCATATGAAACCAGAATCTCCGGGGCCGAAGACCCGGCATCCGTATTTTTAAGCAGCTAATCAAGGTGATGGCTGCACAAGGTTTTGAGTTCCGGTGTTTGGGAGCTACAGGAGCCAAAGATACTTTCTGTGATTTTTTTTTTCTTTCTTGTATATTCCAGGCTACTTCAGAGCACAACAGTTTCAAAACGTCGCCTCGGGGTCTTCAGCAACCTTAGCTCCTTGAGAGGACTGATTGGCAAGACACGTTTCCTAGATGCCAGACAGGAAATGGAAGCCAAGCACAGGAGTGTTTGGGCTCGCGGTGACCATCTTCAGCGTCACGCGAGCATCTGTCTGGCACCTTGCAGGCTGGTGAGGCGAGTGTGAAGCAGCGCGCACTTCATGGGGTTTCATATTTGGAGTGTAGCAAATGCTACCTAGGACACCGTGCTATCTGGGTATGACTTGCTAAGATGTCATTGTGTCCATTTGTCCATGAGACATCCCCCCACCCCCGCCCTGTGCTGTAAAGGTGCTGGTCCCCCCCATGCCCACCCCCAGATTCTCTGCCTGGATCCTGGACAGTGGGTCACGTGGCCTCAGGATGCCATTGGCTGCAATCCGGTGGGAAAGGGAGGTATGGGGGTGGGGGTCCTAGAGGGGAGGAGGGCGTCGGGAGGGGCCGGGTGGCCCCAGAGGGGATGAATGAAAGTGATGGGTAGGGTGCAGAGCTAGGGAGGAAGGTGTCACCAGCTACATGAGAATCAACAGCTTGGAGACCCTCTGTCACTCACAGATCAACCTGCCCGCCCCCCCCCCAAATGCTTCCATGTGTTGGTATCAACTTGTCATTTTGGATTTTATTAAAATCACCTCAAAAACCTGTCCCTGTATCATAGGCAATCTGATGTCTCTGCCATGTCTCTAGGCATTCTGGGGGCTCTTAATTTCTCCTGCCTGCCTGTGGCCCCGATTCCTGTTGGATTCCCAGTCTCTGTTCTGTGCTATTGTTTTTCCTGCAAGATATCACCCCACCTCACTCTGCCCTGATCCCTTCTTATTCCAAAGAGCCATTGGCTCAAAGCTGGGGCGGAGCTGACTCCCAGACCCAGTTCAGCAGAGCCCAGACACATTGAAAGGACCCCTTTGCCTTCAGCCTGGTCTGGATCCTTTATACACACGCTGCTCCTCCTGCTATGAAAACAAAACATGCATCCTCTTCCCAGCCCGTTTCCCTCTCATCTCTCATCTCCTCCCCCCTCCGAGGCCTCTGATGCCCCCACTTGCCAGGGCAACACTGTGGGCATGGAAGGGAGAAGGGAAAGATCAGGGGAGGGAAAAAGAACAACTCCCCTGCAAATCTCCAGGATCTGGCCTCAGCATTAAATTCAAATGGCCAGAGATTGGATTCTGCAGGCATAAGCCACTTACATGCAAATTTGGGCAAATCATATGCAAATATCACATGTGACTCTGCCCTGGATTGCATCTGCTTAGAGCAGGCAAGTAGAGCTTATTGGTGAAGTGCGTTCAAGATGCGGGGACACAGGAACAAGAGAGGAGAATGGGGGATTCTTCAACTCCAACTGCATGCCGGCAACTTTTACGTATGTCATTTGCTCAACCAGCACTTCTTGAGTGGCTGATGTGTGTCTGGCATGGTGATGGAGGCAGTGAGATCAACAGGAAGCAGTGCGCCCCCCTCCCAGATCTTCTAGATAAGTCAGGACCCAAACAAGTACGATGAGGGGGTTTGCAATGGGAAGGCCATGCTTTGGAAAGACAGTGATGGTCACGTGTGCAGGATGCTGTGGGGACACAGGGCAGGCCATCTCATCAGCGCAGGGCATCTGGAAACCTCCTGGAAGCGGTGATGCCTGAGCTGAGCTTTGAGGGATTAAAAGGAGATACTAAGTGAATGAGGGTTTTGTATTTAGGGCCACGGGTGCAGCTGGTGGATGAGTGTGGCGCTGGGAGGGGTGCATGAGGCGGGGGAGTGAGGAGAGGGGGGCTGGTGAGATTCAGGAGCTGGATCATCAAGGGTTTCAGCCCTGAGCTAAGAAGGTGGAGGTCTAGCCTGAAAAATGAGGGTGTAAGCAGGAGAATAATGAGAAAAGGAGGTGTTTCAGGAAAGCTTGCGGACTGCAGCGTGGGGCGAGGGCCGGAGCCGGTCCAGGTGGGGCAAAGAGGCTGGTTGTGAGGGCTTAGACTGGGCCGTGGTGGGAGAGACCAGGAGGTGGACATTCTCAGGAAAATGATGTAGGGGCCCAAAGGAGTAGGATTCTGTGATCAGTCAGTTGTGGAGGGTGATGGTAGGAGAGGGATCCTGGATGATTAGCAGGTCTGAGCCTTGGGTGATAGACCTAGGACCGTGGGAGAAGCAGGTGGAGGACAGTTCTATCTTGGACATGTTTGGCTTGAGGAGCTGCAGGGGACTCAAGAGTCATATCCAAGATGCAGGATGCCTCTCACTGTGTTGGGTCAGGTTCTCCAGAAGCAGGTGTTTCATCTGAGTGTAAGAATTGCATTACGGAAGAGCTCCCAGGAGAAACTGGTAGAGGCGTGGGTGGGTGGGTGGGGGGGTGTCCGGGAAGGGGACAAGGGCTAATGTCACACAGACACATCCAGATGACAACTGCTTCGCTTCCACCAATGAACTATTTTCATTCCTAGTTTGCAGGTGGGAACGCTCAGGTGCAGAGAGACTCCTGGCCAGGGCCAAGGTGCTAATATATTAGCAAAGAAACTAGGATTACCAGGTCCATCTGCCTCCAGACCCCATCCCTAGACATCATGATCCGCTGCCCCAGGCCTTCCAGGGGAGGGAGCATCCCGGCAAATGCTGCAACTGTCTTGGAAAATTTGTGGGGTGAAGTCAAGGATAATATTTTAGGTTTGTTAGGGGGTCACTTAATTTCCTTTGGCAAGAACATGGGAAGAGCCAGAGCCCAGACTCTGTGCAGGACAGACTGTCCTGGCCTCCCAGCTGCCCCAGTCAATGGGAGACAGAGGCTGGGTTCTGACAGTCCTGTTGCTAGTGGTTCCTGCAAGGGTAGTTTTGCAAACAATGCTGAGAAGCTGATTGTGGCAATAAATTACCATGTTAAAAGGAATTATTTTTATCATGGTGTTCTGGGGCCCTGAAGAATGCAGCAAACAAAGACAGGTTGAGTGGACTATTCTGTTTGTGTGGGCCTAGGGTGGAGGCCCAGATGCAGGTGTGTGTGTGTGTGTGTGTGTGTGTGTGTGTGTTCACATTCTTGCCTGCTCCTCAGCTTGAAATGCATTATGCAGGCGCTGGGCCCTTCCACCCTGGGGGGTTTCACAGTAGTCTGAGATGCCCTCTTCCCCAGAGACCTGCCTGCCCAGGACACAGCAAGAGAAACACTCCTTAGGGGATGATGTCTGAAGAGCCTATGGTTGAGACTCTTAGCTCTAGGGAACAAACTGAGGGTTGCTGGAGGGGAGGGGTGGGGGATGGGGTAACTGGGGGATGGGCATTAATGAGCGCGCTTGATGAAATGAGCACTGGGTGTTGTAGGCAACTGATGAATCACTGAATTCTACCCCTGCAACTAATAATACAGGATACTGTATGTTAACTAAATTGAATTTAAATTAAAAAAAAAACCTTAAAAACAACAACAACAACAAGAGCCTATGGTTGGTCTTGATCCGAGAGCTACCTGACAAGAAGTCTGTGACCTTCCCTGGCCATCTTCCTTTGGAAAGACTGGCCAGGAAAGGCCCTTTCAAATGTCCAGCTGAGGTAGAGGTGGGAGCCTCTGCCTTGTTTGAGGAGAACACATCACAGAATACTCTGATTTACACGCTGTTCAATGTGTCAACTTTTGGTTAAAGCTAACATACTCAGAGCTGCAACAGCACTCAGGGAAAGAAAACAGAACATGACCAGCTCCCCCAGGAGCTCCCTCCTGCCTCCTTCCCGTCACTGAACAACCAGCCTTAGCTCCTCCTGACTTGCAACAGCAAAGATCAGCTTGGCCTGCCCTTGTGCATGATATAAAGGAATCACACAGGTACGTTCTGAAAGGAAGATTATAGACTTGAGTCCTGTAAAGTAAATGATAGGCTTCCGGGGTTACTTGTAATTTAAAGGAAACTTCTGGTGAAGTCTTTTGTAATTGGATTAATTGTCCTTGGACCTGAGCCTTGTGCACACTAAGGTTTCATAACATTGAACATGTCATTCAGGATTAGAGATTCATTTAGGGTCCTGGAAAATGGCCCATGTTGCAGACAGAGCCTAGCAAGGAATCACCAACCGAGTTTTTATGAAACAGGACCATCTTGCATTGCCTTCGGCCTTAGATTATTGATTCTCAACCTTGGCTGCGCATGGAAACCCCCTGGAGAGCTTTAAAAAATATTGATGCTGGGGGGTCTCTCCCCAGAGGTTCTGATGGTTCAACTTAGACAATTTTGGGCTTTTCTATTCTCAGAGTTGACCTGTAGGGTGTGAAAGAAAACACCTGTTCTGACACTTGTTAAAGATGGGAAGGCAGACTTAATTCAGTGGGACCACTGTAACGGGGTCTTGCAGTAGGGTAGAGAGACGGGGCTCAAGTCTGAATACAGTCAGGAAAAGTGGGGACTTACAGCCAAGGAGCAGGGTGGAAAGGGTCAGGAGTTGGAAAATTACTAAAAGTGTAGGGTAATTCCTTGCTCAACTGACCTAATACGATTCTTGCTGAAGGCAGGTCCGGGTGATCAGACACTACCTTATTAGACAAGGAACTGGATCAAGGTTCGAGAGTGATCAGAAGTTGAGGATGGGGGAGTCTAGCTAAACTATCTTCATAGCATTCTTTTTAATGCTTGGGCCATGCAAAGGTAGACACAGAAGTCCAAAAGTTGAGGCCTCAATGGAAAGAAGATTCACAGGAGCCTGACTATAGTTTGGTCAAGGACACTTTTTTAGTCAAGGGTATGGATCTGGGTAGAGAAGGTTCTGGGTGACTCCAGGGAGGAAGCATATGATGCATTTGCTACCAAGATGTTGAGTTCAGTGCAGACCCAGAGAAGAGGTCACTTCTCTACTCTCCTCCAGTGACAGCCCAGGCCCCTCTAGACTGAGATTTTTGTGATGACGATGGGTGGGGGGAGGAAAAGGAGGGTGAAAATCATGTGGCCTGGGAAACGTTGCTTAGTATCTCTGAGGCTGTTTTTTCATCTATAAAATGGGAGATAATATTAATAGTGCCGAACCCACAGGTTTCCTGGAAGCACTAAACAAGGAAAGGCATGTAAGCCATTTAGCATGGCGATGGGAACATTGTGATTGTTCAATCAAATGTCATCATTGTTAAAAAACGAAAAACAAAAAAAACAACCCAACCAAGTAAATTTGTTGATCTAATCTGCTTTGTTTTTTATTTATTTATTTTTAAACTTTTTTTTTTTTTAAAGATTTTATTTATTTGACAGAGAGAGACACAGCGAGAGAGGGAACACAAGCAGGGGGAGTGGGAGAGGGAGAAGCAGGCTTCCCGCTAAGCAGGGAGCCCGATGTGGGGCTCGATCCCAGGACCCCGGGATCATGACCTGAGCCTAAGGCAGACGCTTAACGACTGAGCCACCCAGGCGCCCCCTAATCTGCTTTATTAAACGATTCATGATCCAGACAGCAGCTCAGCTAGCAAGTAGAGGGGAGCACCAGGAAAGGCAAGGATTTTAAAGGCAGAGAGAAAGCATTACAAAAAGGAATTTATTAGCAAGGGCTGCATTGTTTAGGCAAGACCACCCTCCTAAGGGGGTAGCGGGTCTTTCGGAGGATTGCCTGCAAGAAATTCCAGTGTGTCTGGGTAAGGGTTACATTCCGGAGGGGGTTGAAACTGCAGTT